TATGCATGTATGAAGTTTCAACCCATCCTATTCTGACGATGGATGGGAAGGGTTGGCAGCATCTTCCAGTGTGTGTAAATGGTGAACAAACAAATATACAGAAAACTAAACATGATAAATCCAACGGGACAAAGTCAGTCAGTCTCACATCGGCTGTGACACGCTGACGGGACATCATAGAAACAATTAGTAAAAAGGGCTTTCCTCCCGTCAGATTAAACATGCTTCTCGCACATTAAACACATCGTCTCCAGACCCAAAACATACATCCCTCTAGTGCAGTGCTTCTCAAATGTGGTCCGCGGTCCGCTGGTGGTCCGTGAGCACCCCCTAGTGGTCCGTGAGTATATTGGTAAAATTTCACATTTGAAATAAATAAATACATTTAAGTTTTCCGCACTCTCGCGGGACTATCTCCGCAATGGATCGACTTTACGTTTCACTTTCGATTGCATGATATAGCCCAGTGCAACACCTTCGTCACACATGTTGCCACTTGTTTGTACCATCTTCAGGCGATTTGTAATCTATTCTAGAAAAACGATGTGTTTTTTGATATTTGTGGAGTTAGGTGGTCCGCGAGTGTTTTTTTATTGGCTAAGTGGTTCTTGGTATGAAAAAGTTTGAGAAACACTGATCTAGTGGGGATTTAATTATTATAATGATATTTGTATTGTTTGTATGCAAGTGATTACATCGAGGAGGACCAAATGACTTTTAAACATCAACGTTTTTGGAGTGGATCTTTAATTGGACGTCAGCGCCTTTAAACTAAAATGGACGATTTAAATAAACAAATTAATTGGAATTTATAAATTTTTAACAATATCATCTTTCTTTAATTCATGACTTTGACTCAGCCTCCTTTCCGGGGGGGGCAAACTGTTTTCTGAATGCACTGAAAATGCTTTTTAAAACCCCCAAACTTTGGTAAGAAGCGTGTCTACTTCATTAGATGTGAACATTTCTATATGATACAGTTCTATGCTTTCAATAAATGTTGTGTCCGTGGTGCAGTTATTAGAAACACTCATCAAAAGGTGGACGCAGGCCCTAAAAATCTCATCAGATTGAATATGTTTCTCACAGTTTTGGAGACAAAGTCGTGCATCCGGACCACCCCGAGGTTCTGAGGTGTCCCTGGTAATGCCCGTCTCTCCTGAACGACCTCCGGCTGCTTGAAGACGTCCTGAGACTTCACCGACTCAGAGTCCCACTCCATGTTGGCTGGACGACAGAAAACAAAGAAACAAAACTCAACGTTAACACCACCATGCAGCTCTAATAAAAACATATACCGTAATTTTCGGACTATAAGCCGCGCCTTTTTTCCCCTTTTTCGACCCTGCGGCTTATATAACGGTGCGGCTAATCTATGGATTGTTACAGCTAACGGCCACTAGGGGACCTCCTAAATCTATGGATTTTACAGGTTACAGTCCACCACCTTTAACTCTATGGGCTCTATGGCCGCTCCGCGCCCCCCACCTTTAAG